AGCGACAGCTCTCCGAGTCCTCGCAGTCCTCCCGCACCGTGCCCAGGTAGTTGCAGACGCACTCTGTGAGGGAAAGAGCATGGCATCTCCATGTCAACCTGCCCCCCGCTACCAGTGCCCTGACTCCACAACTAGTTCATTCTCTGAGTCCACAGAAGTGTGGGCAGATGCTGGCATGTCCCAATGCCAGTGGCCCGACCTGGCTGACCCAACATTGAATGACACCCAGCACTGCTCAAGAGCCCTCCTCATGTCCCCCTCCTCATGCCCCAGCCCTCCTCATTCAACCAGCCCAACCCTCCCTGCTCTCCTCCATTCCTCCGTCTGTAAAACCAAAGCCAAGGTCTGCCCAGCTCTCCTCAGTCAGTTATGGTGGCAGATCTGCTTGAAGTAGTCAACTAGCCAACAGTGAGCTCACCTGCTCAGTGACCTGCCTGTCCTGCTGGTCTGTGCCTGATGCCACAGGAGAGGTGGGTCTGCCTCCCCACCAGCCATTTCAGCTTCCTGTCACAGCCTTCATTCCCACTGTCAAACCACAAACCCTCCCCCCACCACCTTATCTCTGGAGAAGATATAAACAGAGACCAGTATCAAGAGGGTAAGAAGTCTCCCTCCTGCAAAATCCTCCCTCCTTTCAGCAAATGTAAATGCTGTCTCTCAACTCCCTCTCAAACGTAGAGCCAGTAGCCCCACCCAGCTGCAGGCAACTCCAGCTGGAAGTAATAAAGTTTTCCCTCCATACCAAATGCTGCCAGGTAAAAAGCATTTAGCTGCCCACTGGTTCCCCTGAGAAGGCTGGTGCAGCCATGTCTCGCACTCACTTCTGCAGTCCTGCTGCAGGGCGCTCCCGTAGTAGCCCTCTCTGCAGAGGTGGCAGTTCTCCCCCTCAGTGTGATAGAGGCACTTCATGCATGCCCCGCTCCGCTTGTCGCAGGCCTCGGGGTCAGTGGTGTCAATGTTGTTGTTGCACTGGCATGGCTGGCAGGCGCCACCGACCTCATCGGGGCTCCCAAAGAAGCCAGACGCACATTCATCACAGCGACTGCCTGTTTGAACAAACAGGCACACTGGGAACGGCCATCACGGCTCCCTGGCACAGCCTCATCATCAGCAAGGCAATAAAGACCATTACTGGGGGGCATTAACTGGATCATGTTTAAAGAAACAGAGACAGCACTTGGTGAGACCAGGGTAATTTGGTGCAGAGCATGGATGGTACCACCCAGGGCACCAAGGCATGCTGTTCATCCCCTCGGTTCCAGTGCTGTCCTGTCGACCTTTGTTCAGCACCAGTCATCCCTCACTGCTGCAGATGAGGTTCATGGCCATGCTGGCACCACCCACACAGAACACTGCCCTGGCACCTTCCAGGTGAGGTAACCCCCTGCAACAACCCACTGGTGCTGTGGTCACATCTAACCCACATGAACACATCCTCTCCCTGAGAGGTTCAACCCAACCAGCCACTCCTCCACAGTCTCACCAAGTACCTATGTATCCCACGCTACAGACACACACGACTTGCAGTGTGACTGGATCCTGGTAACAGCCACTGGCAAACTGGCGTCCGCTCTCGGGGCCATCAGGGCAAGGGCAGGGCCGGCAGTGGTCACCTGATCCCAGGATGGGGTCTCCATAGTAGCCAGCCTGGCACCTGCACAACAGAGTACACAGCATGCAGGGACTGCAGGCAAACACGCTGTAATTAAGCTGTAAATAAGCTCAGATTTTATACCACTGTGATGTAGCAAGGAGAAGAAACACCCTTATGGCTCACACTCCTAACAGCTGTGTCCACAGACACAAATTTGCCTGGTTTACACCAGCACAGGAGCTGCACACCGAAGGCTGGACATCAGCCCTGCCACCGCAACGCCTCTCAGAAGGCTTGCAATGACTCGCTAAAGGCCTGGGTTCCTGCAGAGTGCTCTCGGTCACTAATGCAGACACAAGGCTGTGGGCAGGGAAGAGGGGATCCCCACTCTCATCAATCTCCAGGACCACAAGTGCTTCTCTTGACTCCCTCGGCACAGGGACTTTTGCTGTGGCTTAGCACCGGTGTAAGCACCAGCACCAGAGAGGAACAGCAGAGCTGCTGTGCCCACACTGCTGTGGGAGCAGAGAGGGGCCAGGGCAAGGGCACAGGTGCCGCACCTCTCACAGTTGTGTCCGGCTGTGTGGTCCCGGCAGCTGAGGCACTCCCCGGTGTAGGGGTTGCAGTCGTCAGCGTGGCCATTGCAGTGGCAGGGCTGGCAGCTGGGGAAGCCCCAGAAGCTGGGCAGGCAGCGGTCGCACTGCCGCCCGTACACCCCGGGGAAGCAGTGGCACTGGCCCGTCTCCACATCGCAGAAGGCGTTGTAAGAGCCTCGGGCGTGGCACTCACATGCTGCAAGGAGAGAGGGAGAGGGGCTGAGTTTCCATCACAAGCCATAACCTCAGGGCCACAACCACAGCACAGCCCAGAGCCAAGGGTTTAACATACGTCGGCATCCACTCGGCCCGAACCCGAAGGTGCCAGGGGCACATCTGTCACACTGCCTTCCAACAACGTTGGGACGACACTGGCACTGTCCTCCATTGGGGTCACACACCGAACTCAGGGAGCCCTGTGGGTCACACTGGCATGCTGAGCAGAGAAAAACATTGCAGAAAGTGAGCACTGTGGCACAAGACATGAATCTCCTGCCTCATGCCACGTACACGCCTTCCCCATGCAAACTGCTCTGCCCGCAAGCGCCACGCAGCCCCCAGGCATGGTTTGCCCTACGAGTAGATGGTTACGTACATAAGGCAGTCTCATGCAGTAGTGCAGAAATGCTGAATATTATGTTCTTGCAGACATCTGTCATGGGAGTTTTCACAACACTCCTGCTGTTTTCCAAACACCGGTATCTTTGGAAAGTTTCCCAAGCGCTGTTCGTGACCACGTCTTCGCCCGAGCCTCCCACTGTGAATATGTCCAGCGATTTGCAGTATGGCATGAGAACAAGCTACAAAACAATTTTAGAATGACAAAGTGTCACTATTTATAAATAGCCTCCACCAAAATTGTGAAAATTCAGTATTATCCCAGTTTCTAGCCTTTTTTTATGCTGAAAAGCAAACAGCCAGATGGAATTTGGAACGTAAATGACTGTATTTCTCAAGTTTTGGTGGAATACTTGTGGTATCTGACAAATTCTTACCATATCTACCAAATTCTATCCATTCTAGAGAAGAAGATTGACACTGACATTGATTTTCATTACCTACATGACACACATTAACTTCCCCAAAGAAACTATAGGTCTGTGGACTTGCTGCAGTCCTGCAAAATACCTCAAAAGCCTCTTAGCAGAAAAACAGCTCACATACTTGGAGGAACTTTTGAAGAAACCTATGCTGCATTACATTGTTCAGCTGAGATCTAACTTCAGCTGTAAGGAACAACACTGCAAAATACTACTTTGAATTTACAGACACATGCCAGGGGAGATGCAAACTTCCAGGCTTTTAAGAGCATCCCTGAAATGAATTCTGCTCACAGAGTCAATGAGTGTGTAGGGGTTCTCAGTCTCCGTGTCCACCGAGGAGTACTGGGACAGCTCCAGGCGGATGGTGTAGTTCAGCCCCTTCTCGAAGCACACGGGCCGCGGGAGAACAACGTATCTGAAGGAGGAACAGGAAACAGTCCTTACTTCAAAGGCACCATAAAGCATTTCAGGTGCCTCTATAGAGCAATCAAGATAACAGAAAGCAGCCAAGACCCAGCAGAACAAAAGCTGCGACGTGAGAGAGGCGGTTTGCAGGCTTGTGGAAGTCAGAACCGGAAAAGGTTATCAGCAAGGTAAAGAGTCAAACCAGTGTTCACTCACAGGCTGTGCAAACACCTCCCCCTCCCTCCACTCAGTGAATAAACCCTATCAGAATACGAGAATAAACTTAAAAGCCTTAAGTCTACAGACACACTACTAAATGTGTTTTTTATAACCTACTGGAAATTAATTTTCACCTATTTTCACAGAGGTTACAGCAAACTGAAAACGTGACATTATTGTACTTCAATTTTTAAATGCTTTATTTTTTCTCTCCTTTTGCCCATCCAGTTATACCAACCTGGATCCAGGTGACAGTGAGACCACTTGATTATCGTCATCAGGAACTGTGTTGCCACACCGACTGCCTGTGGGAATCTTGCCTGGGCGTGTGACACTGATCACAGCTTTTTCCCACTGATCAGGCAACTAGGGAAAAAAAAGGCTCATCAGTATCAAGTAATAATCATAAACTCCTGGAAGCATCCACAGCTCAAACCAGGAAAAGCGTGAGCACAGACAGGGTGGTCACAGTGCTTCAGGGAGGATGGGGCTGCAGCTGCAGCATCAATGGGGCATCTACCAGCTGCAAGTGTGGGCTGAGAGCAAGGAGCAGGTGGCCAGCAGCCCCATCTGCATCATGGCATCACCAAGGGCTTTGGTGACTCCTCTCCCCTCACCTCTGGGTCCTGTATCTGAGTATTCACTGCAGTTAGTTGCTGCCAACAGGCAAGGAGATGGAGGGATTTTTCTCTTTCCCTTCACTCTGCAAATTATCAAAGCCAACTGCTTGCAAACTCTTGGCTGCAGGCATTCCACATCCAAGATGGGCAATTTGCTTCTTAAGGTGCACAATGCCCATCTGATCTGGCCAATAACAAATTTATAGTTTAATCTGCCCTGATGGGACTTGTCACTTTTTAATTTGCTCATTAAACAGGTGCTGAAACAATGCAATAGTGAAACAAACTCTAAAGCAAATAGTACTAGAAATAGTCAACATCATTTTGGATTTTCACACATCTCAGACATTTAACTGAGCACCTGTCCTTTCTTGAGCCCTGACGACTCCTTTAAGAGCCAGCTCAGGTCAGTTGTGCACCAGGACAGCCAGCACCTGCTGGGAGGCAGCAGTGCCCATACTCACAGACCCACCTGAGGCTCGTAGCGGATCACAACATCATACTCCATGGAGTAGGGGATGTTGTCAATGTAGAATTCCAGGTGTCCCCCCTCAGGGACTCTCACAAATCCTATGCCTGTCCATGACGGCGTGCGGTCTGGAGTGTATTGGCGCTCTATTATGTTCACTCCCTACAAAACAGGGAACAGATATTTCAGTACTGATCTATTAAATCTGCAAGTCCCATGGTAGTCCTTAAAGTGTGAGGTTCTGCTGATGGATGACTTCTGCATTGCAGCATCCACTGCTGGCATCTCAGAAAACACAAATTCTCTTTTAAATCCATACACGTGCACACCACTGCCCTTTCACTTAACAACATTACAAATGCAAGAGAGATAAAGCAAAACAAGACTGCACAACTCTTCATTTATTTCTCTGCTATGGTGCAGAATTAAATTTAAAAACTTGCTATGAGTAACTAATTCACCAGCTATGACATCTCATTCACCATACAGATTTCCATACTGCACTTGTAGCAGTAGAATTTACTGCACTGGCACATCACTGTTCCATTAACCATCCAAGCCTGAGTGCTAATTGCTCCCTGACTACACCAGGCTGATTCAAACCAAACCACTGCTCAAAATAGCATTGGAAAAGCAGATTGTGGCTTTAATGAGCAGGGTGTCACTAAAGAACAGAGATCCTAATCATTGATAGATATTTCCTAGCCAAATCAACATATGGTCACCCTTTTCAGTCGGAGGTGTCAGGTGTTTTATCTGTTTTTTATATAAAGAGGAAAAAGGTAACAGAAAATAGAAACATGATGCTCAAATTTCCTGTTTCAAATGTATCTGTATCCACAAATAGTTCTCTCCATAGAACAACAACATCCTGTGCATTCTTAAGGAAGCTGCTTCAGTAGAAAGGGATAAAATGCAAGGAAATGTCTACATATATACGTGTCACTTCAGGATGTCCCCTCATGTATTCTCACACTCTCTGAACAGAGCCTGGCTGTAAGTTGTTAGCCTTTGGCTTTGCACAAAGATCAGAGCTCCCCAGAAAGGAGGGCAGGCAGGATGTGAGCAAGGGCATGCAGCTGTAGGAGCACAGGGGCTTGGCACTACCTGTCAATCCCTGCAACTCTGTGCCACTGCATTTTGTCTTTGCTGGGCCCCTGTCTGGGAATTCAGAGTTTTTTTTCTATCATCAGATTTGTGAGAAAGCTTTTCAATATTGATGTTTTTAAAAATTGTTTGTTCTCAAGGTTTCAAAAGGCAAACCAGCAGCACATCCCCTTGCTCTGTTTGGCAGGGCGGATTTTTGTGCTGGGCTTCTCCATCCCTGAGCCTTGGAAGGGCCTCAGGTACCACCTCTCCAGTTGGGCAGACACAAATGCACCAAAAACCCTGTGCCAGCTTATGTGCCCTCTGCTGTGGTACAATTTCTGCTCTGTGCTTTCTGCAGTTATATGAGAGCAAAAACTCCTCTGCCTTGGCTGAAACTGCGAAGTGGCTGCATTTTGCTCAAAATAAATAAATTAGGGCACCAAATGCCCTTATTGCAGGCAGGCAAGGATCTGTTGCTTTAGAGAAACCATTATTTCCATCTCCCTGTCTCCTTGCTGGAGGCAAAAGTGATTGATATAATCACCTAGCTGCTGTTAATGAATTGAAAGCAAGGCTGTGTGATGGGCAACAGAAAGAGCCAGAGACCCTATTGTACCATGCCAGCAGGCAGAACAAGCTAGAGGCAACCTCACTTTTGTAAATAGTTTTTTGGACAACCAATATGGTTTTAGTCATTAATAAAATATATGTTACTGAAGTACAGAAACTATAAAAACTGTGGCAATATGCTTAAATGTGCGCTTTGTTCACTCCCAGTGAAGCGGCATCAAGGAGAAGAGCCAGTGTCTGTGTCCCACCTCTTCTGAGATAAGAAAAGTAGATGTGGTGGGGTACAGAGAGGGATGGTGACAGAAAACTAACTGTACAGTCATGATCAAAAAAAAACAGGTTTAAGAAAAATCACAATTCCTCCCCCCTCAATTACTCCACTATTTATTGATACTAAGATTGAAAAGCCACAGGTTAGTGGTTTTCTGACACATTTCAGTTTTGTGTTTTGCACATTTTAATTGCAAAACAAGAAGAGCGTAAAAGACACTTCCAAGAGCCAGCTGGTGAAACAACTTTCCCACAGCTCTCCAGACACTCCAGCCCACTGAAACTGCTACTCACAGGGCCCAAGTTGGCTTCCTCTGCCTCGTAGATGTAATGATCCAGCGAAATGAAGTAATAGCCAGGCTCCACCTGGTTGCACTGACGTCCAAACATGTGGGGCCGGCATTCGCATTGGCCAGATTCACTTGAGCAGCTAGAATGGAAGAGCAGTGAATTTACAACAGATGTGGGCTCTGCTGAGACAGCAATGGAGCTATGACATTTTATATGACACAGGAGGAGAAGCACTTCTAGACACAGCACACAGGAGAGGCTCTTGGGCTCTGCAGCTCTGCGCTACAAACACGGCAGCACAGTCACAGGTACAGACCTGGCTCTACCCAACTATCACTCTCCAAAACAACATCCAGGCTCAGGCTGGAAGCAAGCATGGACCAGGAACATTTCCAGTAGGCAGTTTGCAAGTAGCTTCTTCTGTTTAGATGGCAAGAGGATTTCATGCTATGGATGCAATGATTCCCTGGGACACAGGAGTTCTGGGAGCTTTACTTGCCACCAGACCCAGCCAACAGGTACATTTGCCCTGAAGCCGAGGGCAGGCTTTGTCTCCAAGCTTGCAAGCCACACAGGCAGTGCATCTGTTTGTAGGGTCTCAGGCATGACCCTACATGGCCCAGGATGCTGAGCTGCTCTCACTTGCTGCAAAGCATCCAGACAGGTCATCAGCAGCAGCTACACAGGGAGGAAAACCATCCTGGCTGCTCTAGAGCAGGACAGACACAACCAGTGACATGGGGCAGTCAGGGCCATCATCCTCACTGAAGGTCTGTCCAGAGTGACACACAGATTTCCCCTTCTTTCACAATGAGACATTTTCTTTACTCAATACAGCTCTATCCCCAAACTGCCTTTGGCTGTTTTATTGTCCCTAGAGAGTCTGTCCTGTATCATAAAGAAGACTTGATCACATTGCAATTTTGCACACACTCAATCACACTTCTTAAAAGGAAGGTTTTTTGGTCCACCAAAATATACCTCTTTCTTTAAATCTGAGCGGGATTTAGAAACATTTTCTAAAGGTAAATGCCTCTGGTTTCCATGAACAATCTCCAGACTCCTCAAGCCACCAGACAAAGTGTAATTTTTAACTGAAACTTTTTTCAAAGTTGCAGAGATTCTCTAAAATGTTCACTTTGAGATGCCAGAAGTGCCTTAGCTGTCCCAGAAGAGGAGCTGGGAAGCTTCCCCTCTGGGGAGGCAGTAACTCCACCACCTGGGTTACACCACAGGGATGAATTTTGGGCGAGGCACACCATCCCACACCCTGAGAGGGAGCCAGGAAGCAGCAATTCAGCAGCTGAGGAGAGGAGCCCTAAGGAGAGCACAGCTCCCCCTTCCCAATGACGTGAGAGAGCGAAGGCAGGAGCCAGAGCTGGGCTCCGTGGTGCTCCTGCAGCTGGAGGGGAGCACAGCTGCTGCCTGCCTCTGCCAGGATGCTGCACCTCCCCTCCCCACACGGTTTTGCAATCTCCAGGCTCAGTGCATGGGAAACAGGCTGGGCCACGGCTGGGCTGCTACCCCAAAGCCCTGGGAGCAGCTGTGCTGGGGGAGCTGCTCTGGGCTGTGTGGTGTAACCCATCTGTGCGCAGGCAGCGAGCACGGGGGAGTAAATAATCCCTAGGATCCACACTGCTGTCTGCCAAGGGCTAATGATTCACTGGGGAGCAGACAGGAGAGACGGCCCCTGGGACATTCCCACGGCAATCCCTGATGCAGAGGGGTGTCTGTAGGCTGTGATGACCTATGGGAGACACACCAAGATGATCCCACACTCCCCCAGTGTGGTCCCATGGGCTTCAGTAGGAAACAGCTCTCTGACCCATTTGGGAAACTTCTGTGACTTTAGACAAAAGCCTGACATTTCAAAAGGTTTATGGAAGGAAGGGGAGAGGGAAAAAAAAAAAAAAAGCAAAAGAACATGCTGCTGTTGACAAGCCAGGGGTTGGACACACACCTAGCACACAGAGAACTGCTCTGGTCAGAGAAGCAGGCTGGCTACCCAGCACCCCACTGACAGGCAACTAAGCCATGACTTTCCATGTTGATACTGATAGATGCACATTCAAAACCTATGATTTTCTCTAAAAAATGTCCATCTCCCCAGTGGGCACTTTCAGGTCCACATCCTACTCCATGCAGCATTACTGGGGCGACAGAGCAGTACTGTGCAGCTAGTGTGCTTCCCTTAGCACTGGTAGGCAGACAGATTGGCCAAAGGGTGATGTGGGAGCAAGGGAGCAAAGCAAGACCAGCATGTCCATGTCACTGTCCATGTCCATGTCATGCCCAAGTCCTGCTTTCATCCTGTAAGAGCAAAGCTTTGACATGGACCATACCCTGGGTTACAGCCAAGGCAGAGCTTAACCCACACCTGGTTCCTACCCTGGCTGACAAAGGCAGAGCTACACCAAGAACAGTTTTACAGGTTCATTTCACTTGCACCAGTGGCACCAACAAATGTTGCTCCCCACAGAAAAGACATGGATGCCCCTGCTACCTCTGCCACAATCAAGATCTACCACCTCCTGAAGCAGAAAGATGGGTATCAAACATCCTCCCCCAGAGCACATTGAGCCCTGGATGCTGTGGTTACAAAAACACGAGGCTGGGTGAACTGCGTGATCACAGGAGAGGAACTGTGCAGGGACTCACTTGTTGTTCAGCGCTCCGCCCTGGTCGCAGTCGCACGGCCGGCACCCATCCATGTCATTGCTCAGGCCCCAGTGCTCGGGCTGCAGGAGCAAACATCACCAGCACTGTCACCTGGGGCTGAATTATTTCCATCTAACCCAAAGGAACACTTTTAAACACAGCCCAAGCTGTCCCAGACTGCCCCACCACCCATGCATGCTGCTCCCCTGGCCGTGGGTCTACCCCCACAAGCAGCAACAGCACTTCCCTACGTGCTCTCCTCCCACCCCGCTGACCATTTTAAGGGCAAGAGAGCCACACATGGGGCAGTGGGTATTTGTGTAGGGTTGCTGCTACTCTGCAACTTGCTTGCTGGATAGACAGAGTGACTTGTTTGGTTTTTCCATGCAGTTCACTGCTAGATAAGAGTTTCTCAGTGTTTGTACAAACACATCCAGTTATCTGACAGCATGTTTCTATAACACTCCAGCATGCATAAACACTACATGGAAATGTATGTGTGTGAAATAATCCCTGCCTAAAATAATGGCCTGTTTAGAAAGCAATTTTTTTGGTAACACTGTTTCCCTGACTGCTTTGTCTTTCACCCCAGCAAGGACTTCAGCAGAACTGCCCCAGATCCTTCATTTTCAGAGCAACCACAGGTATCCTAATGTCTCACCCCTTATGGTCCCAGGAATTAGACTGGATGCGCCTGTCTGCCTTGACATGAATCCCAGCTCCCCAGAACACAGCACACTTCATGGCTCCTGACATCTCTCGGTGCCCTCTACATCCTGAATGCCAGTAGGCAGTCAGAGACAGTGGCCAGCACCTTGCTCCATGCTTCCCACACTCCAGCCCTCCTCACACCAGAGTCTCCCAATTGATTTTACGGTGAACTACTTGCCAGACATTGATTGCACTGCTTTCCTGTCACCAGACGCTTACAATAGCAGTTTCCTGTCTCCGGATCACAAGGATTGCCCCCGGGGTGGGTACCCAGAGGATTACAGGCACAAGCTACATGGAAATACAAACAGGCAGGTCAAAAGCAGACTGGAGTCATATTTTAGACAGTGTTCAACTTAAATATATACATTAAATTTTCCCCTGAATTCCCCATTACAAAAATTAATTTAATTCTTTGCCCACCATCCATCCCAGTAAAACCTCCCTGGCCTAAAGACTCATAACTGAAAAGAAATAAGGAGGATTATACTATTTCCACTGAATACCCCAGAAGGATCAAATGGTGAACCGGATTTTAAGGGCTGGTGGACTCCAAGCAACATCAAATATACAATAATGTTTTTCCTTTAGGCAAAACATGAAAAAAAGGAAAAAAAAATCCATCCCACAAACCAACTTCTCCTGGCACTAACAGCCCCTCAAAGAGCTTTTGATCACACATAAAGGAACATATGTTTTTACTCACACTGACAGCCCGCTGGGTCATCGGCACTCAGGCCATAGAAACCTTCTTTGCAGAGGTCACAACGCTCCCCCTCGACAAATAATTTACAACGGCACTGTCCGGCAATGAGGCCGGTGGAGAAATCGGTGTAGCGGTCACAGATCCCACCATTCTGGGAGCCAGCTGGGTCACAGTTGCAAGCTAAGAAGGAAGCACCACACATGTGTTATTAACTGCTACAAAATGAAAGGCCAAGTCCCACACTGAATTACTGAAACTCAGCTGCTGTGTAGAAAGACTGTCACTCCTGCAAGTATTAGACATGATATGGGCTGGACACACAAGGACCAGGTAAATTCCCAGATTCTCAAAGAGAAAAAACCCAGCCAGGCTCCCTCAAGACCTCCAAGATGGCTACTTGGAGGCTTCCTCAGGGATCCCAAGGCTCACTTGGGATTTCCTCAGGGATCCCAAGGCCATTCTCACCCTGCAGAGTGGGGCTGCACTTACGCTCGCAGACGTCGGGGTCCCGCAGGTCTCTCTCGGGGTGCTGGAAGTAGAAGGGCTTGCACTGCTCGCAGTTGCGGCCCACAGTGTTGTGCTGGCAGTCGTCACACACCCCCCCGCTGGTGTTCCCCGTTGTCATGTACACTGCCATGTCAAAGTGGCACTGGCTGGAGTGGCCATTGCAGTTGCACTCTGTGACAAAGACAGAAAGCAGAGTGAGAGTCCTGGGGGAAGTGCAACTCTGCAGAAAAGACACACCAGTGTCAACCAAAGAACAAAGACAGAAAGCAGAGTAAGAGTCCTGGGGGAAGTGCAACTCTGCAGAAAAGACACACCACATGAAGGATTTTACACAGAAATAACAGCCTGTAACACTCACGGCACCCAGCTCTGCCTTTTACTCCAACTCACTTTTGCATGCATTACTATTGCGACCTTCAGCAGGGCGCCAGGGTAGATCATGGTAGAAATCCATACACTGCTCACAGTTTAATCCTTTGGTATTATGTCTGCACATGCAGTGACCATGAACCTGTAATTGAAAAAAAAGGAGGAAAAAAAAAAGAATTAAAAAAAAGTTGGTTATGAACGAAAAATGAAAAAAATCATTCTACAATGAATGCAAAATAAAGCTAGCACATAACAGACATATACTTTTAGAGGTTTTAATCCATGTAACTGCATTTAGAAAAGGCATAAAGGGCCATAGGAATGTCCTTCACCTGCCCAAGTGTCCTCATACAAATTTGTCCTCCTTTCCTTACTGGAACTAGTGCCAGAATAAATGCTTTCAGAAATAAACAAGGAAAGCACAGTTCCACCCAGAAGCCTCTTGGAACTAAAAGTTAGCTGTTTATTAGCTGTTAATTAGCTATCAACATGCTTCTATTTACATCAGCAGGTCACTAGCCCAGAGCCCTCTTTCCAGCCTGCCTTGATCCTCAGAGGAAAGATAACAGAGTTTGGATGGCATTTATCCATCAGCCCCAGGCTTTGCCTTTGCCTTGTGTACAGAACAAGCACCAAGCAGACCAAGAGTGGTTGTGTGACAGCTGCTGCCACAGACCAGTGGCACTACCAGCATTGTAGCCACGATGCTAAAGGCAAAGCTTGAGTGGAGACACTCATCCAAACTCAGGGCAGTGGAGCATGCCCAGCTCGATGGCATCCTGCAGCCCTGGACAATCCACAACCCCATCCCACATTTCCAACCAGTTAATAACTCACCCATTAACAGGGTGCTATTGTGGCTTGTCATGCAAAAAGCATGGGGAAAAGCAGACCCCAGAAGGGATGTGGCACTTGTGCAGCAGCATACCATGGAGGCAAACAGGGTTTTCCTTCAGGGCCTTTGTTTATTAGGGCTACAATCAACAACTAATACAAACACAGGTTATGTTTGATTCACAAGTGTTTCAGCCTTTGATGCCTCTATTCCACTTCAATTTTAAGGTAACCAAGTGAACTCATATATCGGTCTCTGACCTAATAAGGTTACACTCCCTTTCTTCATTCCTACCTTTTAGTTTCATCAGCTCTGCAACACAATCAGAAAAGGAATGTTAAAACAATTATCACCTAATCTGAGATATGTGTTTGGTTAATACCAATAATGACAGATGTGTCTGCCACAGAGGAATAATTATAACAGTTCTGTTGTTTGAAAATCAAGCGTTCGGAGGTGAGGGACAGCGTCATCTTTACATTTGTGTTCAAATCACTTAAAAGAGGCAGAGTCAAGAAGAGTGTGAATATTTACCATTCCTTCCACCTCCTCATCCAAGCCCTCCACGGGCGCGCACTCGCTGGCGTGCCCGTAGCAGAAGCAGTTCCCGCGAACCACCATGTCGTAGATGGCATAGTAGTACTTCTCTCGGATCTCCATCCTGGAGTCCAACAGGTTGTCTCCCAGAGTGTGCAGCTTGACAAATTTGACTCTCAGGTTTGTGATCTTCAATAGGTCTGCAGGGGACACACACAAAATAGCTAACCAGCAAGCCCGTTTTGGAATTATTTGCCAGATAATATTTTGAATGGGAGGAAGCCAGGAGTGACTTCCTAAGCCTGCTTCCTATGGGCAGATTAGATCAGATTTGATTTCAGCACCTACACATCACTTCATACTCCCCAAATTAAAAAAAAAAATTACATTATTTTACTACAAGTTGATAACTGCATAAGTAAATTTATGCATAATTTTAAATAATGGTCTATTTTATTATAGACATGCACAGGCACATACACAAATGTTGAAGGCAAGGAGAAAACCACTACCTAAAAGACACTGGGTCTTTGGGGTTTTAAAATATAAGATGGGTAAGGACTTGATATCAAGAAACTGCTGCCAAGTGGACCAGGAGCCAATAGACTTATAAGACTTTAGGAAAAAGTCTTAGCTGGAAATAAAGACAATTCTTCTTTTGTACACACCCAACTTTGCTAGGAAATGTAATTAGTTACATTTTGTGGAAAGAAGTAACACCCCATCACTGACCAAACACAAAGAATTTCCAGAGGGATAATCCATGGGAATACAATATTGCAGTAATTAATACCATCCACATGTCTACTTTGATATTGTGAATCCTGTGTAATTTCTTATAGCCTTGAACTAGGCTTGACAAAGCACTTCAAGACCATGAAAGCAGTTTCTCCTTTAAAATGCTGAGTAAAGAAAAAAAATAGCATTAAACTCATAGCAACGAGCAGACACTCCTCTACTTCACATATTTCCTTTTGCTCCAGGTAGCTTTACACTGAAGGACATGAACCCAGCCTGAGAATGCATATTAAATCAGGTCAGGTTAAGGCTGAGCACTGCAGTTCCCCCAGGCCAAACACCCCACAAGGTTTCTCTTAAAGCACACTGAGCAACAGATCTCTCATGCATTGCCATGACCATGCACAAACACTACAGCAAGTTGTGGTTTATGAGCACATCTGAGTGATCCAGCCATGCCAACTACCATGGCCAACTGTTCCAAAGTCACTACTTTGTTCTGAAAAATAAAACATGACCCCATTGATTTTAGCTAGAAATGCACAATGAAATAAGTACCTTTGTAGCTCTCTTCATTTGCTTTCTGAATACTCTACAATGATAAGATCATATTCCAAGGTTTCTCTTGGCAACTGCATGTATTTTGGGGAAAGGGAGTCTTTAACGAAAACAAATCCCTGATCAACTAAGAAAAGGACCAGATCCAAAGAAGTGTATAAGAGCAATCCCTTGAGTTCACATCATTGATCTTTATTTCCCTGCACATCACTGTCTGAGTCAGGAAAAGGAGCCATACACAGAGATATTCATATGACTTCAAAACTGCTACTGGGGCTAATGCATGACTTCGTTAGTGGATTACAGGTTTTCCTAAGCAAATAAGTGCTGAAATGCTCTCAAATCAGCCTGAAAGGCAACTGCATACATACTCTGAATCCTTGGACTGTACGGATCTTCAATCCGAAAAGCAGGATCTAGAACACGATATATTACCTGGAGGAAAAATCAAACAACAAAAGATTCAGCTTCAAAAATAAGAGAATCTGAATTTGTAAGGAAAAAGTCTAAGCAACAAGCATATTAGAAAAGTTGTCTCTGACCTCTCCCTCTGTTGAAGGTTCAATGTCAGAGTATCGGGAATCACAGATTATATCATCCACTTTCTTCATGGGTCCAGTTGAAATCCCAGGAAAGGAGCTCTCACAGTCGTATGCAAAATACCTGTAAACGTGCCAGGTCTGTCCAAAGTCAGATGATCTTTCAATCAACATTGCAGCAGGACGGAATGTCTAACGGTAAGAAAAACAATAGATTTCATTCGGTTAATTATTATCTGCATTTACATTAAATCTTAGTAGTGTGAACAATCCACATGTCTGGATTTTAATCTCTCTCCCTGCACCGACTATTTCCCATATGTGGAAATATCAGAAACACTTTTCTGATGATATTCCACTTTCTTCTCAGAGGCAGACACATGAAATAACACTCATCAAGCCATAGACTACTACCCATCTTCAAAAGATGGCATCCAGTGGCCAAGTGCTTAAACACATTTAAACAAGAAAACTTGTAAATTTTTTGATTCCAAACTCTTTCTGGAAAGTGGGGGTTAAAGTAGGGCTTTGCAGAGACAAAAATAATTTTTTCCCACAGCTTGTGGAAAGCAGCAGAGCCCTCTTCCTTGCTGTACCTCTTGTCCTTATCTTTTACAAAGGACCTAATTGGCTTCCTCTCATACTGTAGGGAGCAGGAGGTCACTGCAGTACTTCCCATCAAGCTCAGATGCCCAGAAGTTACTGCTGAGCAGGTAGCTCTGAAGTTCAGAGAAGCCCCACCATTTCCTCCTTGCCTGACCACATGACCTTTTGCAGCATCTCTGATGTTCAGCTGTCCTCTGTGCTGCCTTAAGAAAACCTTCTTTATGGAGATGGAGAGGTTCAGCTTCATCCTCTCACACTGCATTTGACTGCCCCCATCCCCAGTGACCCTTCTCCAGCTGGCCTTGCCCAGACTCTGGCAGGCTGCATTCACCTCACCAAACCAGTGTCCTTCTTACCTACACATATTCAACTCTAGAACAACAAACTAATGAAGTTTTGAAAAGATTTTTAATCCCTCTGACCTAAATAAAATCATGTTTTCATTTTTGTGCTGCCTTTCAAAAACCAGATATTTACTTAACCCTAGCTTGTACCTACCAAGAAATGCCAACAATCTCTTCCTTAGTTTTATGTATTCAGTGAAGGACCTCCCAGAGCCAAGCACAAAAGCATTTCAGTCACAGCAGGAAAGAAATTTTCTCTCTGCTTCCTGCCTGAAAATATCACCCAACTTAGAAACTAGTATCTCACCCAACAAAAAAATTTAGCAACCCAGAAGTAAGACAGCTCAACTATCTACCACACAAAGTCCACAAGGCATCATTAAAACTATCTTTCCCCTGCAGTCTTCCTCCTGACAGCAGACCAAGCCCCAGTTTGTACTGGGGTACAATGGCTGCAGTGCCAGGGGTTTTTGGGGGTCCCTCACTGCTGGCTTCAGTAGAAATGACCACCTTCCACCTCAGCCACCACCTTAAGTCACAGGGAGAAACCCTTGTTGATGCCCCAGGAAAGAGGAACCAGCTGTCCTAGAAAGCTGATGCGCAAAAATGAAGAGATTAATTTGTCCACATGGGAAGAACATTTAGGATGTACGGGACATAAGCTACCATTCCAAGACATCTGTTTGTAAAAAAACAAAGACACTTTGTGTACAGATGTTCCTTCTTCCTGAAGACCTTTCCATTTGCCAAATGAAAACTGATACCATGGCCAACTTTTTTCAGGAAAAAAACCCTTGCTACTATATGACTTAGCTAACAATCTTCTGGAATACAACCACCAGAAACACACCAGTACAAAACCCAGCTTCAGCACGACTCCTTCTACAGCCTCACTGGAGTTCAAAGACAAATCAGAACTCAGCCTTTCTGCATGACTTCAGCACTGGTTAATGGTTGGCAGCTCTGAAAAATTCAGGCCAAACAGTTCAGACAAAGTCCTAATCCCAAATATCAAATAGATGTGAAGGACTATGAGACCTCTCATTTCTTCATGTTTTAGGGTTCAGGGTAAGGCTGTGGTTCCTTACCTTGAAGGTCATAATGAGATGAGTGAAATGAAACTCAGCCTCCAGGTCCAGCTGGATAGTCACATTTTCCAAACCTGCAGGGGCAGAGAAAAGAAAGTGTTCAGCAAACAAGGACACCTGCCAGTCTCTACATCTACATTTTGCCAAAGCTCCTCACTCTGTTGCCATGAGACTATTTTCTTTACCACTTGGTTCTGTAGTGGAAAAGGAATTTGATGGTCTAGTGTGTGTCTGAGGCAGAAGGGGAGACACCAAGAACCTGCTGGAGTGTGCGATTCCTGCGTGTGATCAGCACCCAACGCTACACCCAGAGCATGAGCCCGCAGTGCTACTTGAGACAGAGGCATGGCTGGGACCAGCACAGGCTGGGCCCTGGCACCAAAGCCCCCAGTCCAGCTGGGGATGCTGAGCCCAGATGTGTGTGGTGGTCACAGGCTGTTCTCCCACAGCCCAGCCTCTCTGGCAGCAGCAGCAGCACAAGACTGTGCAGCCCTAACACCCCCAGTCTCACTGAGGCCTGGTGGGGGCCATTCCCCACCATTTTTCACTCACTCTGGACTCTCCTGTCCACAAAAACAGCTCCTTTATAACCTGGTTTTGACACACTCCTAAAGCAACTATCACAGCCCTGCTTTGCAGTCCCAAGGGTTAAGAAAATGGTGAGAGGAAAAACGGTTTCCCAAACTGCTGTAAGACTACCTGTGGTCAAGGACTCTACACAGAAAGGAAGAAAAACAGCCAGAAATATTATTTTGCCTTGTGAAAAGAGCTCTCGAAACAGCTGGATACTAATTATACTGTAGTTGGAAATAAAAAATAAAACCAAGATTTACAGAGAGGAGAAAGGGTAAGAAATGAAAATAATAAAACAATAAGGCACTTAAATTTTTGACCAGCTGTAACCTTCTGTGAAGCATGCAGCAATGGTCCCTTATGCTGTATGCCTGAAAACATTAATTGGACAGAAAGAATCATTTGTTTTTTATTGTTGAAGGACATTTTCATGACCTTATGAGCTAAGAAACTTTTTTGTGTGAATGCTGCCAAGCCTGTTGCAAAAAACATGAATTATCTGGAATGCTGGAAGAGGACTGCTGGCGGCAAGCAGTTGATCTAAATGGTTAAAAAGGATTTAGTGAAAATCTTTCTTTAACAGGCAGCAAAACCGTTACAAATATTACCTTTTTTTTCTCATATACAATAAGGCAGCTGCTGCCAATGAATTTGCAGAAATCCCACCCTGTCCAGCTGGCTTTAAGGTTTCAGGGTAGGACTGCTGCTTGAGAAACCCTTGCTGCCTTGTTCTGTGTATGAAAGCATGCCAAAAGCATAACCAGAAAAGTAAAACAGGCAGAGGAAGGATTAAAAGAAAAAACCAAAAACCAATCTGAAAAACCAGCAAAAAACCACCAAACTAATATGCAATTTTTGTTTTTAATGAGCTGGCTTCATTGCTTGGCCAATGGTACAGAAGTTCAGGGAGCTCAGGAGAGAGAAGGCAGCTTGTAGGGTACGAAATATCCCTGGCTTTACTGTCCTGGGGTAGGAGAAGGAAACTGGAGGACTGCAGGCAGGGCAAGAGCAGCTCTGCGCCCACACCCCCTCCTTCCACAGCCTCCAGCCCGGGCGTGGGGAAACCCTGGGATATTTGCTCCTGGAAGGCTGCTCCGCTCTTGCTGCCCAAATATGAGGGAGATCTGAGGCCAGTGTGGGAAACTCTTCTCTTTAGGAAAGGATTCTTGCAGAGTGCCTGGACAGCTGTTTCCAGCACTCCTGGAGGACCCGAGGGGTTTTGTTACACATTAAGGACGGCTCCAGGGCACACAAAGGCAGCCAGTTTTACTCATGGCTCCTCACACAGCATGATCCTTCACAGGACAGTAATCAGCAGGCCAGAGATAAGAGCAAACCCACAGGTACCCTTCAACAAAAGGAGGGAAAACAGCTCCCAGCCCCGGAAATTGCTCCGGACAAACCACATACCATTTTCCGACTGCCACCAGAGCTTCAGGCGGTTTGGGTCGAACGTGGTGACAACATTTTCAATGCGATGGCTGTCGGGATTGAGAGTATCGTGGAAGGGATCCTCCGAATCACATATGAAACATTTTTTGTCCTCCTGAAACAACACGATAATCAGCATTACTGATTTTATCCATGGGGCAATAGTTGCTTCCTGCAGATAAGGGTATTTTCCATCCACATCACATTCCACTCATTTTGCCTGCAGGAGTCATCAAAGATTTTTTTTTGTTGAAATGTTCAGTGTTTTTACCTCTATGAATTAATGTAATGGAAAGTATGCCAGGAATTCCATAAACTTCATTTTTATGGGAAGCATGCTTTCAATGAAAATTGCAGTTTCAGGAAATCTCTTCCAGCGCACGTATTCTCCAGTGGAATTCAAAACCAATGGCAACATCTACAGAAAATTGCTGAATTGCTTCTGTAAAAATGCACACGTGCAAAACTGCATCTTAACAACTCATGAGAAATAACTCTGCCTTTTGGAAGCTGCCTTGGAGATGCAAGCTGCCTGCATTAGGGATACCTCCCTTGAGGCCCAGTGCCCATCAAGAAGCCCTCAGTGATTTAACCCTTTTCTCTGAATTCAGCTGGTCCAACTCCTACCCAAACCTTGCATCCTCAGCTGGTATTGCAACCCCAAACTGTGTACATAAGGTCCATTTGCACACATTACAAGGTCTGCCCAAGCAAAACCAGCTCAGAACAAGTCTGGGATGTGCTGCTTGGGAAAGCCGGAAGCTTCTTCACCAGGGGACAAAACCCCATTCTGGCTATTACTACAAACAGCGCTATTTTTGCATTGTCCTTCTGCCTAAAACCACCACTTTCTGACTGCAAGGCAGGGTGCAAACTGAACCAAAGGGAGGGATCCTGCCCAGACCAACGGGAGGGGGCAGATGAGGAGAGCTCATTGGATGGCAGTGAAGGAGCCCCAACACAGCAAGAACTCATCCCTGCCCAAAGCTACACAGGCATCATTCCTGCAGCACGTTTATGGAGACAGATGCTGTTCTTTATCAGCCAAGAATGTGACAGCTGGCAGGTCTGCACCACACAGGCTTTCCATTTCACCAGTCCTGGCTTCAGTGGCTCCTCCCAAGCTCAGGGCTTCACCTCCCACGAGCCCTCCAACACTCGTCCGGCACAAAGAACGGCAAGAGCAGGGTCCCAGGAGGATGTTCCCTACTTCCTGCTCCAGGCTTCTCTCCCCCCACGCTTCATGCCACAACTTGCTTCTCCTCTGACCAAAATTGAATCCCAGAAGACCTAGCAGATCCTAATTCTGCCAAGCACTCAAGTGGGCTAAGAGGATACTGGCAACTTCCATGATTTCTTCAATACCACACACTATGTATGGTTCAGAATAACCAGGGACATCCCAAACACTGAACCGGGGCAGGGAGATCAGGAATATGGGCACATGAGAACTTTCTGAAGTGACGCTTTTTACAACGGCACTTCAACATTTTTTGAGACAAGAAAATGTAACAAAGCACCTTTGTTATTTCATTCTACCAGAGATGCTTATGTTGCTAAAGTCAATCCCAACATACACTGAAAATGTTCAGAGAAGCTAGATCCCTCGTCAAATAAAGTAGAGCCATTAGACAGAACTTATATGGTAAAACTGAAGGTGGGGAAAGGATGAAGGGAGACTTGGTAACTTCAGGGCACAAATGAGTCAAGGGCTACAGCCTCTCCTGCTTCCTGTGGTTTTCCTTCCAAGTGCCAGAATCCGGCCCTATTGTCTACACAGTAATTCGTCCGGAGATTATCCCTTTACTTTCAGTTCAACAGAGTTCCACGTATATAACTGATAGCTTATTCTTCTCCACCATCCCTTCTCTCTCAGAGATTTTAAGTTTGATGAGCTGCTTCTGGCTTTAAAGAGCAGCAGCTCACCAGATGTGCAGAGACAATATCATTTGCATCCTTCCACTCCGAGACCATACACATGTAATTACATTACTGAGACTGTGGACAAAACACTGCCGAGCCCTACAGCCCACTCTCCTTTAGGAAGCTGTCTAGACGGCTCCGAGCGAGCCGGGAAATAAAGCATTAACTGAACTTACTGCGGCACATTCTTCCTTATTGGCCTCGATCGGGAAAGGGGGCTCGGAGCCGAAAGCCGCGGGCATTCCCT